GTTTGAAAATTGTGGAAGGTTCATAAACCCTTTGATAATCTGATAAAGAGTCTGGGCCTCACCCCAGGACGAGACCCATGTCCATGTGCACACAAAATTTTACACCAATTCCAGCAACTTCATATTCATCCATAGATAGGCTAGGGGTTCACAGACTCCAGTTTAAGAATCTGTGCCCTAGAGCATGGTGAGTTCCTTTTGCTGGAACAGCCCAGGATTCACTGAGCCTAGAAATTGAATTCTCATCCCAAGACAGGGTGGTCATTCCAGGTCATGTCTGTGCTACTCCGGGGGAGCCACGGAAGAGTTTATACAAATAGGAACCAGCAGGGAGGAGAGAAATTAAAATGTAGCAATCATGGAGTAGGGGTATTTAATCTCTTTTAAGGCTTATGATAGGCGCCTGCTGGTTTTCTCCCGGTATCCCCTGACACCTACTGACAGGGTATTTGCAGCACCACACAGTGACTCAGGGCCCTGTGACAGGAGGGGCACTGAGGAGGTCCATGATAGTCTTGAAACCATAAACAGCAATAAGAAGCCACTGGAGGCAGAGTCAAGCTGTGCGGCGTGCCCATTGTTGGTGGCCATACTGCTTTTTGTTTATAGAATTTGCTGTTCTTTTTATGGCAGGTTTGGTAGGGTTTTGTTTTTTTTTTCCTTGTTGATGGAGATTAGCAGCATAAATCCTTTTATGGCAGTGTGCAATCCCCCATAAACACTTCTGATTGTTGCTCATGGTGAACGCTGCGTCTCTTTCTGGTTCGCTCAATGCTCTGCTCATCCAGACCAAAGGCTTCTCCAATCAAATAGCCAACTTTTATTTTTAAGACTTCTTCATTGCAGCAGGGGGGGATGGGAGGGTTCAAAGAGGTGGGGCCAGGTTGGTGTTGAGAGAAACAGATGTTTAATCAAGCCTAGAAATATTTATGATGGGAACAAACCACATGCTGTACTTCTTTCAGGAGAAAGCCTTCTAAAAAGACTGTGGCAAGAAGCAAGCACTGATATGAAGGGTTGTGGGGTTTTCTTAAAAAAACACAACTTTTTATATTCTTTTCTAAAGCATCTTCAGTTGATAGTTTTGCATAATTAAAATCTTCGCCGTACCATTCACAGTATAATTTGAGTTACAGGGTGGGCAGCATGTATAATTCCGATGTCCTAACATTGTCACTTACAGGTATGTAGCCCCCCTTAAAGATAGAAACATTTCTGCATTGAAGATTTCAGGTCTCCTGAGAGCCTCTCAGCATTTTCCCAGTATTTCCAAACATCTGGGCAAAGAGAAATCAGACTTTATGGAAAACATTGATCCCAGAAATTCAGTTCTCTCTGCCATCCTAAAACTAAAATCCAAGGATCAGCAACTTAATAAAAATGCAGTAAATTAGCACCTCTAGACAAGAGCAGAGTTCATTCAGAGCTGGGGTCTGCCTGGCTGAGCCAGTACTCTCTCCATTTTAATAGTTTAATAAAAATTAGCATAATTAACGAACATCTGTATGATCCAGAGTGGTGCAATTTGGCACTTAGAAACGAGGGCTTAAACATGATTGCTGTGAGTTTAATGTTGTTTTAATTCTTTTTGGCACTGTGCAGTGAAATAAACGTTTGGTGGTGATAGTTCTCGGCCGGATCTCATTTGCATTTTTCTCCCTTTGATTATGAGCAATTGTGGACTCCCCAGCAATTCATCAAAGTAGAAATTATTTTAAAATACCTCGTGGTGTTCAGACTGGGCTGGAGCAATGCATGGGGGGTAGTAGTGGGAGAGAAGGCTGGAAATTTTCCATTCATGCTTTAAACATCTCAGCCCTGCAGCCCTTTTCCGGTATCCAGCCAAGGGATGAAATCTGGAAAAGATAGTCAGATCCCAAGACCTGGAGGTGCTTTGATTAAGCTCCCAGGCTCTCACAGCAGGATAAATACGGTCTCTGAGACTGTGCCATCCTCCTTCCACTTCTGCGAGCTCTTTTGTTTTGAAGGGCAGAGCGTTGATTTCACTCATTTCAGTTCTCACCACTGTGGTGAAACTACCACATCTGTAATCGGCAGGGTCAGTGTTCCCCTCAAGCAAGAACGAACTGACCGGAGCTCAGCCTTTGCAGGTGCCCTGCTGAGCCTCATCTGCTTCCTGTTTGCACCCTCTTGGAGTTGGCAGAGAGCATCTTCCCAAGGCTTTGTCCCTGGGACTCATGACATTGTGGCTAAAGGGTGGTACTGTGAAGTGTGAGTCAGTGGGGGGCGGGGGGTCTTGAACAGTCCCCAGGGAGCAAATGCCTTATCCGAGCCCCTGCGGGTGATGAAGATGACACTTCACACATGTTTAAGCAAGCTGACTTTGATCAAGAGATCGTCAGACAACATTGTGCTCACCCTCTGCCTGGGAGATAGCCGAGGAGCTAAAGCTAGTTTTTGTGAGTTACACTGAGAGGAGGACCAAGCCCGTACTTCCCCTCACAGCAAGGCCCTGCAGATGTGGACACTCTAGTGACTCAGCAAACACAAGGCAACACCACAAGAAAACTTGAGGCAGAAACCGCCCTAACTTCAGTGCTGGGAAATGGACAGTAACATAACTTATATCCAGAGGAGCTTTAAAACATCCTGACAGGCATAGACTCCTCACAGCAAGGCCCTGCAGATGTGGACACTCTAGTGACTCAGCAAACACAAGGCAACACCGCAAGAAAACTTGAGGCAGAAACCGCCCTAACTTCAGTGCTGGAAAATGGACAGTAACATAACTTATATCCAGAGGAGCTTTAAAACATCCTGACAGGCATAGACCAAGGAATTCTGGATAATTTCCTACAAGGCAGTGCTGTAGGAGAAACGGTAAGAGAAGCTGGCCCTGGAGAGGGACTGTGGGAGGGATGAGAAGGTATGGGTTGGCCTCAGCAGGCATCAGTGAATTCACACATGTGAGAAACCATATGAATGTAAAGAATATGCAAAAACCTTTCACCAGAATTCACCCTAATAGAGGAAAATCTCTATGAATGTAATGGCTGTGGGAAAAGGTTTTGGTGGAAGTCACCCCTCAAAATGCATCAGAGGACTAACACCATAAAGAAGCCCTGTGAATGTACAACTGTGCCTTGGACTCAGGATTAGTGTCAGGACAACGCATGCATATAAAAATTTTCAGATGCTCAAGACCGTTCTACAAATGTTGTAGTATTGGCATATTGCCTATGCACTTCCTGCTGTATTCTTTACATCTTGTGTAGAATACTTATAGTAATAAATACAATGTGAATACTATGTTAAAAAAAAAAGAAGAAGGTATGGTGTAGGAAGGGGTGGTGGATGGACACATTCAGTCATTTAAGATTGGTTTTTAAAAGGCAAATTCCCTGGTCCTAAAAGGACTAACTCAGTAGTTTTGCTTCTTGTGGCATTTGAGACTCTTCTTGGTGTTTAGGGAGCCATTTGGAGAGACTGTCTCCAAAGGCAGTTGATCTCTTCCTGCCACAACCAATTCAATGATCAGGGGAATATCTTATAGTTGTAACTAAATCTGCTCAACTGAGAGTACAAATTCCCACTGCCCCTTTCACTTCATCATAACCTCATTTAACGAATATTTATTTGGCCCCACTCTGCGCTGGGTATCATGCTGAATGCTGAGAGTCATCAGCAAGCAAAATCAACAAGGTCCAGCCCTCAGAACTCTCCATCTAGTGATTGACTCGGAGACAAAGAAAGGCAGATACAAGGCAGTGTGATGAGCTCATTTCCAAGAAGCACAGGACACAGCACTGTGGACAGTGTAGCCATGGCCCCCACACAGAGAGAGGCACGGAGAGACTTCTAGAGTACCTGACTCAGGAGTTGAGTTCTGAAGGCTGCTTAGGAGTGAGCCCCATAAAACGGAGGAGGGAAGTAGAGGCTAAATAGGCAGAGGAAAGGCTCCAAGGTGAGAGAGCCTGTGACTCATGGTTGTCATACAGGTAAGTTCCTGCTTTGGTGTCTTGAGGTGGACAAATCTGATGGCTTTTCCCTTTGAAGGTGGAAAAGAGGTGTCCGCTGAGAGGGAGGGGAATAGCAGAGTTGGAAGAGGGGAGATAACACTATCTAGAAACAAAAAGATCACCAGTTAATGCCAGGGACCCTGAATTTTACATGTCACCAACCTGGTTCTCTTTCCTTTTTTCCTAGTAGGACTCAGCAGCCAGGTGTACAAAGAGCAGACAGTTAGTTCCATGGTACCCCACATCCAGTTGAACTGGAATATGTGATATTTCCCAATCTTAAAGTTTCATCCTAATTTTATGTCCTTCAAAAGAAAAACATTTTCGAGTGCTTTCAGGATAGTGTCATAACATTCAACATCTGCTGTGCTTTTGAGGAGCTCTTCTGTTTTCAAGGAGCTCCATTCTCAACCCTGTGATTGCCCCTAAAGCCCTGTTTTAAACCTTCTCAACCCCTTTCTTGTTTGCCCCTCTCTGTGGCACCTGTGTCCTTGCTTGTCATTATTGGTGTACCTGTCAACCTCCCACCTCTTCCAGGGAAGGAATCTAATGTTTAGAGTACCTACTGTGTGTCAGACACTTTCAGTTGTTTTCACTTCAGTGGTGTCGCTCATATCCCACAACACAGAGGAGGGGAGATATCCTTGCTCTTACAGACCAGGAGGTTAAATCTAGAAGAACCTAAGGTCACAAGGCTAGTAAATGACCAGGCGAGGATCAGATCCCAGTCTGTCTGACTTCCAAGCCCATTAATCTATGCTGTAAGTTCCCAAGGAGCAAGCAATGTTCTGATTCATCATTGTATACCTCATGGGAACTCAAACAGCACTTTGCATATAGAAGATGCTTGAAAATATTATTTATCTGAACTATGACCAAACCTGCTGATTATCTTTAGTGTTCTGGCATTTTAGCGTGTGCCCAACTTTCTCTGAAGAAGCCATCCCGTTCTGCTTGGTTAAAGGTGGGGGGAAAAAAAGCTCTTTAGGTTCAGCAACCACCTTCTTTTCATTTTTTCAGGAGTATAACATGTATGGCTGGTGGGTAGGAGAACTGAACAGCCTCATTGGGATTGTTCCAAAGGAATATCTCACCACTACCTTTGAAGTGGAAGAAAGATGAAGCCCAGGTATCAGAACCATTGTCAATGAACTACCCGTGAGTTGAGTGGAATTTGTCCACCATGACTTTGTCTCTCTGTGAAAGATGAGTTGCCAGTGAAGTAGCTTTTCTTCATTTCCGAAAGGGAAAAGGGGATGCTAATTATTCACTATTGAAAGAAAATGAGACTAGAATTGCTTTTTCTAAATTTGGGGACTGTGTCACTTAGGACCAGGTTGAATTAAAAGTGATAGAAAATCCAAAGTAACAATGACTTAATTAACACAGAAATTTATTTTTCTCTCCTGTAAAAATCTGGAGGTAAGCTCTACTGTGCCTGGCCAACATTCCCATGGTTACCTGGTGGCCAAGATGGATGCTGCAGCTCCCACTCTCATGTCTGCATCCTACTCAGCAGGAAAGATAAATTAAAACAGAAGCGTAGACCTTCTCCCATTAAGGACACTACACAGATGTTACACACACCACCTCCGCTTATATTCCATTGCCAGAACTTGGATATACAGACACAACGCACTGCAAAAAAAGCTTTATTCTAGGTAGCTCTGGGTCCAGCTTAAGAGAGTTCATTATTAAATGAAAGGGGAGAGTGGATATTCAGAAACAACTAGGAATTTTTGCCACAAGGATGAATCAGGGGCCGGGGGGCAGGGCATGTTTTGTGGGTTTTTTACTTGTCCATTTTTTTGGTGTCTGGCCACTGTGGGGATCCAAACCTTTGATCTTAGTGTTACAACACCACACTCTAACCAACTAAGCTAACCATCCAGCCCAGATCTGGGTTTCTTTATCCCCTTAGGACCAGGTTGAATTAAAAGTGATAGAAAATCCAAAGTAACAATGACTTAATTAACACAGAAATTTATTTTTCTCTCCTGTAAAAATCTGGAGGTAAGCTCTACTGTGCCTGGCCAACATTCCCATGGTTACCTGGTGGCCAAGATGGATGCTGCAGCTCCCACTCTCATGTCTGCATCCTACTCAGCAGGAAAGATAAATTAAAACAGAAGCGTAGACCTTCTCCCATTAAGGACACTACACAGATGTTACACACACCACCTCCGCTTATATTCCATTGCCAGAACTTGGATATACAGACACAACGCACTGCAAAAAAAGCTTTATTCTAGGTAGCTCTGGGTCCAGCTTAAGAGAGTTCATTATTAAATGAAAGGGGAGAGTGGATATTCAGAAACAACTAGGAATTTTTGCCACAAGGATGAATCAGGGGCCGGGGGGCAGGGCATGTTTTGTGGGTTTTTTACTTGTCCATTTTTTTGGTGTCTGGCCACTGTGGGGATCCAAACCTTTGATCTTAGTGTTACAACAGCACACTCTAACCAACTAAGCTAACCATCCAGCCCAGATCTGGGTTTCTTTATCTCCAGCTCTCAAATCCAGGGCACTGTTTCCCTCAAATGCCCACATATTATAATATGACTGACCAA